TTAAAATGATGTTTAAATAAAAAGGTCTTTACCTGGTGCCGAAAAACCAGTAACGACGGTGCTAGGCGGACCTCTTTGGGGAGTGAATTCCATAGGTTGGGCGCCACCGCAGAGAAAGCCCTCCTCCGAGTACTTACTCTCCTAATTTCTTTCATGGAGGGTTCCCGGAGAAGGGACTCTCCCACAGATCTTAAAGGGCGGTCGGGCATATACGGACGTAAGCGCTCGTTCAGGTAGCCAGGACCCAAGCCATATATAAAGGTTTACTGCTTTTAAATACCCTCTTTTTGCTGGTTGGGTATGGAGATAATAGAAGAAGAGATAATAGAAGGAGAATAGAAGGAGATAATAGAAGAAAAGAAGTTTTCAGGCAGGATGGAGAACTCCCAGCTATGTCCCAAGAAGATCCTCCATCCCTGATCTGGGGCTGCACAGAATACCCCAAGGTGAAGGGCTAAAATATAATTCTCAGTTGCCTGAAGCCACAACACAAGTTCTCATGTTGATCCCTCCTCTTATACCACTATTTTGCCCTGACAGCTAAGGGAAGGATGTGGTGGACAGGGTAGAAAAGCTTTTAATTTTTTAAAATAAATTTAAAAAATCAAACCAGGTCCAGGATTGGTAGAAAAGGTGATACTCTAAGAAGAGATTCTATTGTATTCTTATTCCCATGTTCCTTATTCCCACTCTACTCCTGTAGCTGGAAGGTACTGAAAGATGAACAAGACTGACCTTCCATGGGCAAGCAATGCCAAAGACCCAAATGGGGAGGAAAATTCACCTTGCATTGTTGGGATGGGCGCCATCATCTACTACTGCATCCTCTTGGGTGTTGGTCTGCCAGGTAAGAGATTCAGGAAGAACCGTAAGTGGTGCCCAGAACAAGCAGGAGGACAAAGGGCAACAGTTACAGCTTACAGCTAAGCAACTGCATTTTATTTCATTTTATTATTTATTCATTTACATTTCTGCCAAAGCCACCTTTCAGGACAAGCCCTCCTGTATGCTGGGATACAGTAAAACAATAGAATAATAACAATAAATCATACAATGACAATAAAAAGCCAAAATGAAACAACTTAAAAACCAGCAGTACAATCACACAAAGGTCTGGTATTGTTGGAAAGTCTTTAGGGCTAGAGAAACTGTCCTTTGAGGAAAAAGAATACAAGGTCTGGAACTATTTGGCTTGGACAAGTGGCAAGTATGAGGAAAAAGAGCTGTACAATATTATGCATAATATGGAGAAAGTCTATATGCAGATGGTTGTCATAATACTAGAAATGAATTGGGTTATCCCATTAAATCGAATGGAGAGAAAACCAGAACAGATCCTGGTGGCAAAAGGAGAGTAGTGTGGGTCCCAGGCAAACCTCCCTCGGGAAAGCACTCCAGGCTGGGGAGTCACTACCAGGAAAGTCCTCGCAGAATTTTTAAGTTCGCCTCGAAGAGTCCAAAGCCCTGTTCAGTGTGGGGTCTACAATGCAGAATGCAACTACGGCATCCCAGCAGATAGCAGTCTAGTTTCTGCTTCCACCAAAGGAGACCCTACTGATTTCCTGCACTCCTAAGAGACATACTTTATTACCTGAAAATCCCAGTACATGGGAACATGCGCAATACGCTCCTAGGAAACAAATGCTCTTAAAAAATGAGTCCCCTGGGCCAAGAATGAACATTAGGTGAATGTTAATTCCATAGCTGGGCACTAGAGGGAGCGATGACCTCATGTAGATTTGGAGTTTCCAGAAGCACCTCTGGCTGGGTAGTTGGGCAGATGTGCAGCTCTATGATACTGCAGAGGGAAATGAAGCAAGATGCTTTGTAAAAAGGCGTGAAAGGGTTCAGAGCTACAGCGAAGAGAGAATGCAGCCAGGCCTAAATGAAGATTTCCAACGTAGGCAACTCCAAATGGAGTATGGTTCTGGACCATAAATAAGGAAAAGACTTTGGCACTAAATAAAGAGAAAAGAACCTCCACTGCTTCCTTCGATTGCTCACTCCCTTACACAATAACTGTTCTCACGGACAAAACAGGTTCCATAAACAGGAACCTAAGCCCATATTTCCTTCAGCTTAAGCTTTTTCTTTCCTCCACTCATTCTTTTTAAAGGGCTTGCTTTGCTCTTTGCTCTGCTCTGTTTTGCACAACTGGTTACATTCTATGGACTTTTTTCTCCCTCAGCACAGAATAAAGACAGAGATATGCACTGGGCAAAGCACATGGACCTTGTTTCAAGTAGGGGAATGCTACACTGACAAGAATGACTTATTTATTTGTTATATTTTTAATCAGCTGAGTAACAGATGCCCTCTGGGCAGATTACAAATAACTAATAGCATGCAAAATAAAATGCAAACAGTTAAATGAATGGGATTTTATAGAAACACAAGAATAAATTTGAAGAACAACAACCAGTAGCATAAGAATTGACACAGCCATTGTATCTAACAACCACACTTTTCGAGCATTTAAGCCTCTGAAATGCCTCTAACATTTCCAATCAGATTCTGCCTTTTTTCAAGGACCCAGGGTGCCATCCAGGGATATTTCCCCCCTCCCCTCTGTGCTATTATCCTCACCACAATCCTGCAGATAATTAATTTTGGACCTAGATTTAATGAACTTTTGATTCTTTCCCCCCTGCCACCATTTTAGATAGCCAGGTTTAATTATCTCACATTCAACTAACTTTCCTCTTCTCCACACTCTACCGCACACCTTTCCATGCTCTCCAACTGCTTCTATATTCTTGCACAGCAAACAACAAACACCCTAATTTTACGAATACAGAGAAAAAAGAAAAGCTGTGAGAGCATGTGCACTTTTGCATTTTAAAGTTACTCAACCCAAAGTGCCGTGTTAGTCAGGAACTGTAAGGGTGTTTACTTGGGGTGGGCTGTGGGGTCCTGGATTTCAGCCCTGAGGTCCGGCCCTCCCTGCTCTGTAAGGTGGCCTGGGCTAAAGGATGGCAAGTGCCCCAAGGCTACACAGAGCTTTCTGGCTGAGTTAGGATTTGAGGAACTGAGCCCAGCCCTGCCCAGCTCTCTGACCACTGCCATCCTGCATGAAATTACTACCATCTCCTCCCCGTTTATCTTTTTTAAGCACCTGAAGGAAAGAACCGAAGCCAGTTTTTGCCTGCCCATTCCTGTGCCACATTTGTGTCTTCCGTCCGTCAAATCCATATCCCACTGACAAGTGGTCTTTGGTTGCTTTGCTTCCCTCTTCTCCTTGTTCCAGTTAACATTCTGACAGTGGTCGCGCTCTCCCGCCTGGCCGTTCGCACCCAGAAATCCTCCTACTGGTACCTCCTGGCCCTCACGGCTTCTGACATCATGACGCAGGTCTTTGTCGTCTTCGCGGGCTTCATCGTGCAGGCGGCCATCTTGGCCCGCGAGGTCCCAGGTGCCCTTGCCCACATCGTCAATGTGCTGCAGTTCACAGCCAACCATGCCTCCATCTGGGTGACTGTCCTGCTGACTGCAGACCGCTACATGGCCCTCTGCCGCCCCCTGCAGCACAGAACCATTTCCTACCCTGAGCGCACCCGGAAGATCATCGGGGCCGTGTTTGCCGTGTCGCTCGCCACTGGAATCCCCTTCTATTGGTGGCACGATGTTTGGCACGATGCCTACCCACTCACCTCCACGAACCAGGCCCTGAAGTGGCTTCACTGCTTCCTCATCTACTTTATTCCCTGTAGCATCTTCCTGGTGACCAATTCTGTGATCATCTGGAATCTCAAACACTCCAGTGGGCTCTACCGGCGCCTCAGCAAATCCACAGCAATTCTGCTGGCCATCACGACCATCTTCATTGTCCTCTGGGCTCCACGGACCTTTGTCATCATCTACCACCTCTACGTGACCTCGGTCAATCAGGACTGGCGCGTGCACCTGGCCCTTGATGTGGCGAACATGGTAGCCATGCTCAACACTTCCCACAACTTCTTCCTCTACTGTTTTGTCAGTAAGACCTTCCGCTGCACCGTCCAGGAGGTGCTGCTGTCCTGCAGGCTCCCGTGTGCCCAAGCACCGAGGAAGAACGTCCCCTCAGGCCCAGGCCTGAAGCCACTGGCAGTCTTGGAAGGAGCCAGGGAGATTGTCTTCCTTCTGCAACCAGCTCCAGCGTTGCTGAAAGATCCCGCACAGCCCAAGGGGGCGCCGTCTCTCTGGTGCAGATAAGCTTGATGCAGGCGCTTGGATCTGGACTGCAAGCATTAGGCTGGAGCATCTGCTGGGCATGTGTGTGCATGTACATCTATCTATATGTGCTTGCATATATTTGTGTGTGTGTGTGTGTGTATCCATGCAGGTATGTTTACATATGTGTGATGTGTTTGTGTGTGTGTGTATACACAAAACAGATTTGGGTGAATGCAGCAGCCATTCACACAGTGGAAGCCGTCCGCCGTGTGCACGTATCCGCAGGGGGAACCAGTCACTGAACACATCCTGCTGGACAGGGGCACAGCGCAGTAGCCACTTCTGGCCACACCACGGGCCAGCGTTCGCTTGCCTGCTCCTGCAAGAGAAATCAAGGGAAGGAGGCAGCCAGGCAATGCTCACTTGGCTGCTCTTCCACACACTCGGGGGCGCCGCAGGGGAATCTTGCCCACTGGCACCATATACAGGGGTCTGTGGCATTCGGCACAATCGTTCTGGCAGTGAGGGCCACATCTGGTGCCAGATGAGAGGCCGTGTGCATGTCAACGCGCGAGTCCAACTGCCTCCAGCAATGCCTCTCTTGTTGCAGATCAGTCCTGGCACTACCTAAGGAGACCCTGCTCTTATCCCCAAAAGCAGGGAGGCTATTGATCTTGGACCCAGGTTCAAATCCCACAAAGGTCCCTGAAAGACCTCAAACCTGTCACTGCCTCTCAGCCTAACCTACCTCACAGGGCTGTAGTGAGGATGACGTGAAATAGCTGCCACATTTGCTCCTTAAAAGAACAAAGCTTCAACCTGAGAGAAGCCGACATTTCCTGCCTCCTTCTTCTTGCCCTTTTTTGAGGGGGAAAGGTGGAGAGAAGGGGCAGCAATTCATCCTCAGCTGCTGTGTGGGTTTGCAAATTTAATGGCTGCTGTGTGCGGTTGAGCTGTATGTCACTGATGCTGACAGACTCCTGCTGCTATCCCAATTACAGCCAAAATAGCATTGGGGGGCGGGGGGGAGAGATCTCTGCTCTGACAGAAAGGAAACCCTTCAGTGTGCAGCAAAAGAGCAAAACTTCAGGCTTCCACAACTCCTGTTTGCAATACATGTTCAGTTTGTGATCAAGTATCTCCAGGTTTCAGTTTCTTAAGCAATAAAGGCATTACAGATAAAAAATTAAAGGCAGAAGGAGATGTTGCATATATATGTGTTTTTAAGCTTGCCGTATCACCAAAAGAGGAAGCAGAACTTGAAGGAGCTGAACACTGGGAGAAGCAGAGAGACTGTTTGAAAGGTGTGTGTGCCGAGGTGTGCGACAAAGAGGTGGCGTGTGAGGCCAGTGTGGTGTAGTGGTGAGACTGCTGGACTCAAAGATCTAATAGTCCCCACTGGGCCATAAAGCCACCAGATGACTTTGGGCTAGTCACCAACTCTCAGCCTAACGTCCCTTCTAAAGGTATTGTGAGGATAAAATGGAGAGAAACTCATCAGCTGTTCCAGGTTTTTTGAAAGAGGGAAAAAAGGCAGGGTATAAATCCAATGCTGCCACCACCTCCAATGATGAGGCTGATGACGACGACGACGACAAGGGCAATGATGGTGACATGCTTTGGAGCAGCCTTCCCCAACTTTGTGCCTTCCAGACATGTTTGGACTGCAACACCTAGAATTCCCAGTAGACGGCCCTGCTGGATGGGAATTCTGGGAGTTGTGGTCCAAATGCCTCCGAAGGCCACCAGGCTGGGAATGGCTGCTTTAGAAACACCACTTCCCAGCCAACTATATTGGCCAGCAACTCCCATCACACCTGGCCAGAACTACAGATCTGGAGGCCAGGGGGTTGGGGAAGGGCTGCTTTAGGAGAGATTCCCCTTCGCACTCTGTTCACCTTAATCCTGGCCCAGCACCCACATCTTGCCTCCATTTACAGGACAGGCATCTCATTTCTGCAAGAGCGATAGCCCTGCAATACAGCAGCCATAGAAGTTTAGTTCACCCTTTAAAAATCAGAGCAGAGGATAGGAATGGTTGGGGGAGGGGGACCATGCATAAATTACATCTTAAACATTGGAATAGAATGTTTATGAATGGATAGAGTATTGCCTCAGACGTTTGAGGTCTTGAATGTGTTTGCCACCGTTTTGTCTTTAAAAGGTTAGATGAGCATGCCTCTTTTTGAGAAGTACGACGACATACAGAGCTATGAAAGCACAATCCTATGCATTTCTCGACAGGAAAATGACCTACAACTCCCAGCATGCCCCAGCCAACCATGCTCAGAGTTGCAGGAATTTTTCCCCCCATCAAAACCTACCTTGAGCTGCACCTTAAAGAACTTTTGAAATGCATCTTTTCTGAAAAGCCTGGGGGAAGGAAAGGTTTATGTGGTGAGGACACAATTGATACCAGAGGCTCCATCCAATGGAGGGGCACAATATTCACACAACTCTAATTGGCCCAGCACTCACATCTGGAGTGCTATTTCAGTGCTAACCTCTGGGACATTTGTCTGAGGGGGGAGGCAGGGACTTGACCAGCTGGCAGGCCACCGAGCAAAAGGGGGCCGTGGAGAAGAGGGGCTGCTGGCCAAGCTGCAGGAGACCTGGCTGGGCCATTTGGAGAGGCCCCCTGTGCTTGCCCAGTGCATGCCAGAGCCAAAGCAATCCACTCCACACTTTCGAGGCCACAGGCACTTTCTCCTCACACCCCACCCCCTTGCTGCTGCTCCCATAATATTTGCCTTTGGGTAGGTTTCCCTGAGTTCATCTCCCTCTCTGAAAAGCTCCTTTCACATCCTGTTTGGAGGGCCTGTCTAATCTGGCTGCATCCCAGGTAGCTCTGCAGAGCACCTCTGCCTGAGAGAAAGGCCGGCTCTGTCCTGCCACACTCACCTACACATCAAGCCATACGGAGATCGATCGGGCAGGGACCTTCCCTGCACAAAGCATGTGCTTTGCCACCAGGCTCTGGTCCCGCTCCGTGGCATGCCCCTTCGCCTTAAGCATCCCTGCACCATGAGCACTGGGTGTCAGGGGGAAGGCGGTGCGAGATTCAAAACCCTGTAAGACAGGATCTGGGTAGGTACAAGCAGATTTATCGAAGCATTTGCAAAGGCTGGCTCAGAGTCTCAGTCGCCTGAGGAAGGAAGAGCAATTATCACAAACATGCATGAGATTATATACATTCCTTTTCCGACCCTCAGCACTACCCCTGCTTCACCATTGGCTGGTTACCATCCGGTGAACGGTCTTCTCGTAAGGCCTCTTCCCCAAACAGGGGCCTCCGCCTCTTAATCCAACCTCCAATTGTTCCACCCTTGCTGCCTCATCTTATCTTATGTTTTCCTGTCTCTGCTCCTTCTTTCGGCAGGATGGGTGCCAGTAAGAGGCAAATGGCCTCTTACTGTGGAATGTCTGTGCTTCTGCTAGTTTTAAAAAGATACTGTTCTTACTCTGTTTCTCACAATCCCCCCTTCTTTTCAACATCTTTTATCTTTTTAAACTGTATTTGCACCTGTTCTAGTAATTGTTCATTGTCTTGTCTGTTCCTTTCTTCAAGGCTCAGGAGCGTCGCCTGCTCCTTGTAACAGGGCCCATTCCTTTGTTTGGGCGTCTGATTCTCTTAGGGTCTCATAAAAGGAGTTAAATATTTCATGGGTCTGGGTTCGTGTCCAGTTTACCACTCTTATAGTTAGGAGAGTGGTGGGATCCTCCCCAGTGCCGTCAATTGCAAACCCAAACTGCCACGTTATCTCTTGTGCTTTCTGGGCTACTTCAAGCTGGGACGGGGTGATCTGTAGAATCACTGGGTTGCATGTAAAAAGGGAACATTCCCTAGGTGCCTGGCCCCTAAACAGTGTTAGGATCTTTCCCTGCATCTCTCCATAACTACTGGTGCTCCAGCTGACACAACTCCATCCTGAGCATTCCTGGGGACTGTAACAGGGCGATCCCCTTGTAAAGGGATAAGAGGATCGATAAATATCAGAAGGTTTTTCTTTGCACAAATACTTATGGTTATTCACATAGGCTTTCACCCAGTTAATGCTACCGCATGAGGATTGGACTCTATTCAGTCCCAGCACATAACAAGCGTCAAAAGTCAAGTTAACTGATTGGTGCATATCATGCACCTGAACTGAAGTTATAAGTTTCTCATCTCCTTCCCATTTCTCATCAGCTACTGCTGACCTAAGTTCTAAATACGTCTTGTAAGGTGGTACCTTTGGATCATAACAGATAGTCTCTCCCTTTGTTGTTTTACATTGGGAGTAAGTGACCCCTTTGTACTGACACTTTCCCACAGGGTTTTTGCACGTATATTCAGTATGATATACCAGCGTTTGGTTAACCTGGTTACGATATTTCGTTTGCTTAATGCAAAGGGTGCAATTCCCTACTGTAGGTTGATTTCCCCCTGTCCTTTCCACTTCCAGGAGGATGAAACACCATAATACAATTTTTATCCATACTTTATCCATCCCTTCTCTTCCTCTGGACTGGAGCAGAACTGAGTTCAGGTTGCTCTGGGGTAGTAGGGTTAGCATGGCCGAGGACCAGGTTCTCTTCACCTAGCCAATCCCCTAGTACTGTTCCCCTTTATACCCCTTCTTCGTCTTCCAGAGGATTATTCCCAGCCCTGGCTTCCTTCGATTTTTCCTCAAAGTATTCAGGGTATATATCCTCTATTACAATGTCACACCTTTCTCTGCAATCCCTATGGAAGGGGAGGCAGTCCGGGCAGTGACTACAGCAACACTCAGCTATACACTCGCAGTCACAGAACCAACACATCAGGTATCAGTCCCAGTGCAATTTCTTCAGGCTCTCTCTTTGCTTTCAGATGACACAGTATCTGTGACCATTCACCTCGAAATATATACAAGGAAAAGCATAGTACCATACACAAAACCCCCACTGCCCACCCCCACCATTCAAACATTCAAGTTCCTTTTTACTGTCAGTTTCAATGAATCTGGATGGGCGTGTGCCGTCCACTGAACAGGTTCTGGTACTGGTGCTTTAACTCG